TAACTAACTTAACTATAAGTTCTAACTATCATAGGTAACTATCTATAATCTGTACTACATTATACATTACATTTCTAACTGAGCTCAATAAACACAATACCTAAACAAGAGGAGAAATATACATATCACCTTATTTGACCTTAAATTATATCAATAAATGAAAATCTGTTCCAAAACAAAGTATTCATATCTATATCATAATTCCCTTTTTACCTTTAAAAAGATATTGGTTGTGATCATTAGCCATTTATAACCAAGTCCATTTAAATGAAAACAAACATTTATAAACAGTATTTGGGAATTTTGGCATCGTTCTTTTTAAACTACTTTCTTCTGATAGGGGGCGCTGTCATGGGGATCCTAAGAAGATGCAGAAATCCTGGCTGTAGTCTGTAAATCTGCCTTGTTTAAGCTGTTTTGAATGTTGGATCATCAGGAACTCTGTTTTAGGGGGTCTGGCTTGTTCAAACCACATTAGTCTGCAAGGAATCCACAGCTTTTTATTTTCTGTGGAAACAAAAATAGAAATCCTTTTCCCCAGTAACTTGTCCTTGAACTTAAATGTTGGAGTCAAAGCATTTTTAAAATATATAAATTGAATTAATCCAGCAGCATTTCCTTTATCAGTTGTTGTTATTTTCTCAGCAGTCAAACAATGCAGAGACAACACAATAGCATACAGTAACCAGATTCTCTCTGAGCTTTTCATCTTTACGTGGCTTTATTATTACTTTGTTTATTTTACTTTTATTTTTTTATTTTTTGACATAGGGTTTCACTGTGTAACTCTTATCTGTCCTGAAATTTACTCTGTATACCAGGTTTACTTGGAAAATCACAGAGATCTGGTTTTTTTGTTTGTTTGTTTTTTTGTTTTTTTTTGTTTGTTTGTTTGTTTTTTTCAGTGTGTCTCTGCCATCTGCCATTGGTTCCATTATATTTTGGTGTAATATTTGCACTGCCTCATGCATAGGCTATCATTGACAGAAATTAAAGGAACATTGACCCTTGAAGATTCCCCCATTGTAGAAGTCATCAGATATATTTTGCCTTCCTAACAGATTTGAGAACCAATGTTATTTCCTAAGATGCTATTATCTGCTTATCAGGTCCATCTATATATTTAAATATCATGTGTGAAATCTGTGCTGTTAGACAGGCCTTACACTGACTAATCTTTGTACCAATCTAGACTTATGTTAGTAAAACTCAAGTTTAAACAAGATATAAAAGTGGTTTGAGTGGGTGAGGTATGTGTGATGTCCCACTTAATGTGAAGCACATTGGAGCTTGATGCAAGAATCTTATAAGGACTCTGTCTGGGTCACACAGCTCCACTGGATTCTGTTTACTGTCAGGCTTAGATAAGTTCTCTTTGGTTAAAGACTGACCTGAAAATATATGTCTTCAAAGGGGAGGTGTGGACCTGAAGTGTCAGTTTCTTCTGTTGGAATTGAGGCTCTTTCTAAAGGGTGAAGGTACAGGGCTGAGAAAGGAATAGGAGCTACCTTAATACCTATGGCAGTCCCAGAGACTAGGGAATGTGTTTGTGAAGTGGCCTTGAATACTCATCTACAAATGCCTCTTTCTTTGCTTTTACAAATCATTATAATTCTAGAACCAAGCATTCTCTCCTGGTTAGTTCTACCCTATCAGAGGCATCTGAATGTCCTGGACATTCTACAATTTGCTGAGCCATAAACAGACCATTAACAACATGGGTAACACATTGTACTGGAGTTCTCAACAGAAACAAAAGAAGCAAATTTAGGGAAATAGAAAGGGAATAGGTGATTGATATAGAAATCGATTGATAAACAGAAGAATAGCTATGATAGATTAGTGAGAGGAAAGAGAGAAGGGTGGAGATAATAGTTACATGATTCAGTGAACTAAGGAAAACCAAGAAGTTCCATACTTTTTCATCTGAAAGCCAGTTAGGGAAGTCCTTTGTAGTACTAAGTGTGAGTTTAAAGGTCAGAAACTTGGAAAGCCTATGAAGTGAGTCTCACTTTGTCTCCACTCATGCAATCAAACACAGGGTACATAATTTTCCTTGTTTCTTTCCCTGTTTGTCTATTGTGTCCTGTAAATAATTGAATGATGCCTACATACTTTGGGGAGGAAATTCTAATTTATTAAGTCCATTAATTCAAATACTATTCTCACACATTACCCTCTTGACATTTAATTGAATATTCAACAATCTTAGTACCCAGTTAGTACCCAGAGCATGCCTTAGTACCCAGTTGACATATGAAATTAGCCTTCAGACATATTTGAACTTTGTGGTTTTCTTATGACCATCCTTATGCATTCAGTCATTTTAATAGATTTTAGTTTTAAGAAATCAATTTATCTTTATGTGTGTGTTTTTATGTGTATGTGAGTGTGTGTATGTGTGTGTGTGTGAGTGTATGCATATGTATGTGAGTATGTGTATGTACATCGTGAACGTGCTTGCACTGACCACAGTATATTTATGGAGGTCAGAAGACAATTCAAAGAGGCTTTTTCTACTCTACCAACATGTAGGTACTGGGGATACAACTCAGGTTGTCAGGCACTGTTACCTGCTAAACCATTTTTACCAGTCCAAATTAAGCCATTTATAATATCCATATATAAATATGTTAATGCTAGTTTTCCTGTCTTGCAGATTGTTAGAGCAGCATGTGGCATCCCATGTATCAGTGGAATGTAGAACATTAAACACCTCCAACCCACAAAAAAAAAAAAAAAAAAAAAAAAAAAAAAACATATCATATATACCGTCCATCAGATTTTCTGAGAATATGTTCACTTTAATGTCTTTAAACTGAATTTGTAATAAATTATACAAGATTGAGCAGGCTTCCTGTCACATCCAAGAGGTATTCTCTTTAGAGGTTGGCACTGAGAAACACAATGACTCATGAGTTGTAACATTGTAGCAGTAAGTAGCCATTCCGTAGTCAAAGAAAATCACTATAGTTAAGATAATCAATTCTCAGAGATACACTTGGGTTCAAATCATGACTTTATTGGCTAGTTATATTATTGAGAAAGTTACTTTATCAGTTTACACAGGCTTCAATTATGTTATGTGTGTATGGCTTAGAATGATACCTGACACAAAATCAAAGCTCAGTAAATAATTGTTAAATATATGCTCAATAAAGTTTTATTGAGGAAAGAAATTATTCACGTAGGTATTTGGGCAATAAAAACAAAAGTTTTTTTTTTCTATTGCTCTCATGTTATTTTAAAAACATGTTCAATATATTTTACTCGAAAATATGATTATTCATATATTTGAAAAATACCCTTTTTACAATTCCCTTCAATACCTGTGTCTTAGAAATAATAACCTAGTTGTTTTTGAGTAATTATATTGCCATCTCTTTTCTCTACTCAACTAAACAAAGAACTGGGCACAACAATAATAAATTGTTTAATTATTTAATTACTCTATATGTAGTAGGATAATGCTTCTTCCAATGGATTTCTAAATCACAGACTACTATTATAAAAGAAAGAAGAAATAATGTGTTGTTTCCTTAGTTGGAAAAGGGTTTCTGAATGAATCTTTTGTTTGTTTTAATATTAACATTGAAAATACATAAAATGAAAGTATTTTATGTCATTCCTTCAGAAGACATGGGGAGCATGCCTATTGAGCTGTAAACTTAATTTACAGCTTTTGGCTTCCCACAGAGCTGAAGTCAAACAAGCATACAGTTCTGTCTTGATGAGACAAGATTGTTTAGCTTTTTGGAAACTGTTTCCTTATCTGAAGAATTTGAATGACAAAAACTCCTCATTGGATAGATGTAAATACAGAGACAACCAGTTGGCTAATTATAAATACCAATGTCTTCTCTTTATCACATATTCAAAATGTCCATCATTTGTTTTAAGGTATTTGATATCTCTGAAAATCTTTGTGTCAATAAAAATTACGGGATGATCATCTCTAAATTCTCTTGTATCTCCACAGCCTTTGGTACCCTTTGGTAACTGCTGGGATCCAAGGGTGGGGGGTCATGTAACAGTTAGTTCTTGACCAACTTAGTTTCCAGTTTAAGCTCTTGATCACAATACATACACACCAATTTCCTTTCATGGCAGTCCTCGCAAACTAACTCTTAAATTACTCACTAGGTCCTAAGGGAAAAAAAAGTGATTATATATAAAAATTAAGCATCTCCAAATTACAATATAAATCAGTTTATTTGACATAGAACAGGGGACCAACAAACAGGCCTCTAGAGATGTCATCAACTGATAATATGTGAGAATGAAATTTAAAATATTTAATTTTCATATGAAACTATGCAATGCATTCACTTTATCATCTGGCTTTACTTTTACTCTGTCCTTAATAGATGCTAAAGCATAGAAGCAATAAATGTGTCAGTTAGGAAAAAGATTCATGAATTTTTATTATATGAAAGTCAGATGATATTTCAAAATACCTCATAGCTTTCAAATCTATTCTAACATATCATGCAATTAGTACCCCTATTCTCAGAAATAATTTTATAGATTTTGCTCAGCCAATTAATTAAATATCCTTATTCTTTAATTTCTAGTGTGTTCAAAGAAAATTAATACAGCCAGAATGGCTATGCACTGAGGTCATATCTACTTCCAGCAATATGACTCAATATTTCCATTGTATATTAATTACATATTCCTCCTCCTTTAATTAATATCAATATGAATTAGAAAAGGTAGTTACTCTTGAAGCACTAAGTTCAGTAAGACTTTTCTGGAGAGGTGGGACTGTTCAGAGCAGCTACAAATACTGTTGAAATGTTATCAGTGTAGCAGAGTAAATGCTATTCTTAAATGTATTTGAATTAAGTTTGATCAAAAATGTGAAATACCATAGACTTAGAGTTACCAAGTCATAAAACATGACTTTTTGAATGACTATTGAAATGGAAACTAAAGCACAAAAGTGATAGTTCAGGCAGAGAGGATTGACAAGTGCCAATGTTGCCCTTTGTTTTCAGTCTCCAGCACACAGCTATTCCAGCTATGACTCTGGCAAGAACGAGAGTGTTGACCGGGGTGCAGAGGATCTGTCACTCAACCGGGGAGATGAGGATGAAGATGACCATGAAGAACATGAGGATTCTGAGAAGGTGAACGAGACAGATGGCGTGGAAGCCGAGAGGCTGAAAGCGTTCAATGTGAGTCCCCCACATTGCGTGGCTATGTTTTGACCACTTCACGTTCATGCCGTTGCTTGTTGGTCAATGTGAATATTCTAGAACCATGTCTGTTTAATTTTCAGAAGGATTTTTAAAGTACATGAAACACTCTTTGACAAGCAGACACCAGAATTGCTGTTTTGTTTAGAATTGTAAAGCCAAATGGGTGCTGAGAACGGGAATTGTGTTGTGTGAGTATGCATGTCCACCTAGGCTGAAGGGGGCTCAGCTTAGTCCTCAGATGGTTATGCCTGTCTGTCATCAGTTATTTCCTTTGCTTTCTTAATTGTGCATGACAAGAATCAACTGTTGGTTCTCAGAAATGAGTCCACTGTGTGGTGTGGCAATGTCTCAGTCCCATTTATCATTAAAAGTGGATGTAATGGGTGCTCAGATGTCCTGGTTCTACTGTTAATTCCTGATGTTTTATTTTTCATTCTTTCCTGTCTGTTTGTCTGTTTGCTTTCCTTTCTCTCTCTCTCTTCCTATCCTTCTCTCTTTCTTTCTCTCTTTATATATATTTATATACTTAATTCAACCATTTAGAAAATCTTTGAAGAGTGTTTGCTTAAATTTTCTGGCTTTCCATTTGCAAAATTCTCCAGTGCATAGATCAGAAAAAGAATTATTTTCCTCTCGGTAATCAAGACAGGAAGCTAGGAACAGAAGAGAGCAGTCCTCCAAACCCTTCTCCTCTGTCTCCCTCTTGCCAACAGATGTTTGTCAGGCTGTTTGTAGATGAAAACTTGGACCGAATGGTCCCAATCTCTAAGCAGCCCAAAGAAAAGATCCAGGCTATCATTGACTCATGCAGGCGACAATTCCCTGAGTACCAAGAGCGTGCCAGAAAACGTATCCGTACTTACCTCAAGTCCTGCAGGCGGATGAAAAGAAGTGGTTTTGAGATGGTGAGTTATAAATTGAACACAGCCCTAGATTCCATCCAAACCCCACATGTAAATCATGGCACTATTTTGTTTCCATCTTAGTGTCTTTATGTTTATTTTTCCATAATGTCAGGTCCAAGGGGTTTTCATTTGCTTGTGTTTATCCCCCTTTCCTTTCCATCCTCCCCAAGCATTTATCCCCTCCGTTTATATGATGATAAGGACTCTCTTGAGAGACCAGTGCTCACAGAACCATGTGATGACATCTCATAGAAAATAAGGATAATACAAGACAAAATCAGGGAGAAACCAATTGTTACACATCATCTGTGTTTGTTTTCTTTTGTTACTACACAAGTATATGTGAGGTTTATGAGTCTTCAATTGAAGTTTGCAGTTGTTGCTTTAGGTATGTGAGAGTGGCTTTCTCTGGAATGTAAGGGAATGGGTGCATCTGCTGTCTAACAAATAACAAGCCTTGAAAACTGAGATGGGAATAAAGGTGCTCAGGATTAAATCTAAGTGCATGTTTCCCTAGACCTGTTGACCCTATATGGTGAATTAGGCTCTGAACTCCCTGTTGTGTTGTGCTTGTTGGGGATGAGTTTGCCTGACCTTGATTACTTTGGTGTAGAAACTGGTAATCAAAATACTGTGAATTTGCACTGTTCTTTTATCTACACAAATCCAACAAATATTGACATTGTATACTTGATGCTTTTCACATTTCAAAGTATGTTTGTGTGTACTTACAGAAATGTTAGCTGATTTATTTCTTTCAACAGCTATTGAAAGTTCCAGCTCAGGGCTCAGCACACTACAAGGCAAACAAATGCACTACGACTTTAGAAGTAGTTTAAAAACTTTCTGATCATTTTGTTTATTCTCCTCACACTTGAAAAGGCTATGTTTGTGATCTGGGCTTCTGGCTGTCTCATTGTGATTGGTGGAAGTTGTAATGATGAGAGAGGTTTCAAAGTATGGCTCTATATTTGCAATTTCATGGAGGTAAAATCTTATGAAATGAATGACAGTAAAAGAACTCCCATATAGTGACAATTTTTGTATTGCTATCTAAAGTGGAGATGGTTTTTCTGTATTGTAGAGTACAGGATGAAAGCCTATTTAGGGTTCTGCATCCACAACTTTCAGATGTCTGATTTGGGTAAGTTGGCACTCCTGTCTGTGCTTGATTCCTCCTCTGCATACCAAAATCATCCCAGCTATAGTTCTTGAAGAATTTCCATCTGCTAATACAGACAGTGTTTCTTAGAAACCTTTGCAAGTCATTTCTGGCACAAAGTAAGTCTTCAAAGGATCTGAACAAGAAAAGATTATCACATATTATTAATTTATTATCCAAAGAAAAGTTTCTTGTGATGTTTTTATTCAACAATTTCAGAGCCTATCAAACACATATGTGGTTATGAATGCTAAATTTGAAGTTTGCAGTACATATGGCATTTAATAAGCAAATGGTAGAACTGAGTGACTAGTTGTTCATTTATTCTGTGTGTATCATATAAATAGAACTTCAAAGGTGACAGAGAGAAATATGACACATCTGGTTTGTTGTTTCTGAGGAAAGAATACCATGTCCTGGTCATTATGATTCATTGAGATGACCCCTTATCTGACATGAAGTGTTCAAATGCAAACTGGAGGGTCAACTGTAATTACATGAACAATGTAGAGGAAAATGGATAGTTTAACTTAAGCCATTTCAGTCCATTCTGTTACCACATCCTCCCTAGTATAGAATGTCTCCTTGGAAATGAGACACACACTTAAATAAGCATACTTGAACATTCCTTTCACTTTCTATATATAGTCTCTTACTGTGGCATTTTTAATAGAATTTTGTTCCATTTAAAATAGTCATTTCTATATGGCAAGAAAAAGAAAGAAAGAAAGAAAAACGAAGAAGAAAGAAAGAGGGATGAAGGAAAAGAAAGGAAGAAAGGAAGGAAAGAAGGAAGAAAGAAAGAGAGATGAGTAGACATAGATAATGCAGAGTAATTAAAACTAACTAATATGCCCTCTTAATTCTTAAATGTTATATAAGATAACCTCCGGGATTTTAAAATTCAACATATTAAAACAAAAACAAGATAGATAGAAAGAAACTCAGTTATTTTCATAATGAGTTTATTTTATGTGCCCCCTGTTCTCTAACATGTATCAAGTCAATTAGGAAATCAGTTAATTTTGAATACATTTGTAAAAGTTAAGTGTAAAGAGTAGGTTTATTTTGTATGAGATTCAGTGCCAATCAATAAGCTTAGTTCTCTGCATACTTGGGCTCCCTGAGTCCAGAAGACCCTGTAAATAGAGAGGAATCCCGTGCTGCTGGGTTATGAGTTTCTTGTTGACATTGTTAAATTTAAAATGATATTCCTACTTTGTGTTTCATCACAACATACATAATTGAGTATCTTAGTATTTGCTTCCCTTTTCTACCACTGTCCATACAAAATCTATTCCTGTTTACTGTTCATATCACTTTTGTTGTCCACTGAATTTAATTAGAGTTAGCTGTTTGGGCAATTATGCCCTTAAGCAAGGGCAACTTGGCTATGCCATTAAATAATGTGACTGTCCCTATCCCGAGTATTATGTGACAATAGATTCTCAATGAGGGACAGAGCCCAATAGGACCCTTACCTGTCCAATGTGGAATGTTGATGAACAGTCTTGTGCTGGCAACCATTGATGCTCAGAGTTCAACAGTAATACCATGTCCAGAAAAACCTCTTTCAGAGAACTCTTTCCCATCCTCTGTTCCTTGGAGGCTTTCAGCGATCTCTTCTGCAGTATTCTTTGAGCCATGGAGAGGGTTATAATGATGTTCCATTTAAGGCTGAACACTCACCAGTTGTTTATTCTCCGTACTTTCCCCAACTATAAGTCTATTCATTAACTGTCAATCAGTGCAGAACTGTCTCTTCCAAGGGCAGCTGTAGTAACCCCTGAGTTTAAACATGGATTTTAGAACACTGAAATACTTTTAATTGGCTTCATCACATTAAACAATCATTATAATATACATACATATTATGCATATATATATACATACATATTTACATGGATGCATACACACACACACACACACACACACACACATATATATATATATATATATATATAATTTTATTTTCTTAGAATTATCCAGACCAAGTGAGTTTTGATAGCTTTAGCTGAAAGAAAAAGGTGTCTTGTTCTTCATAGTGTTTCTAACACATGGACTAGAATCACTACAAAAAGAGTATTTGCTTCACATTTTTACTAAGTCCTTATGAACCTCAAACCCTGGCATCTTAAGCATAGAAGAACATGTTTAATGAAAAATAAATCTAATAAATTTGATCCAGTGTACAATAATTATTCTTAGAGTATAAAAGCTAGGAGAGTTAAGCAGCCATTATATTAAAACTAGGAAAAAAATCTATTTTTTGTTAAATTGTTAATGATTTACTATTTGGCTTTGACCCCTAAGTTTCTACAGCAACATCTCTCAAGAACAGGAATCAATTGCTCTAGGACTTGAATCAGTTTCTCCAAAGGGCTGCTGTCTTAAAGTCAATAGTAGCTATAATAGAAACTGATAGAAGCCACGGTCTGTAAATGAGACATGGTTGACGCCTACTGATGTTCCTCCTGTACTATTTCTCTCTTTCCTAGATTTACACAGAGACCTTTGTCACCTGGACATAGTTATAATATTTCTGAAAAACTCAAAATATTGAGAATAAATACAGTAAAAAGAAACCCTTGTAATTCAATACCCCTCTTCTCTCCCTAATTGTGGCATTATACTGCTATAGTCCAAGTAGCATAGATTCTGAATTTGATGAGCTGCTTGAAAAATCATGTACCTGATTGTTTAAGAGACTATTTTTGCTTGTAGAAATAGGTCTTGTTCAAGTTTTTTAATCTTTAAAATTTCTGAAGATACTGTCCACTGAGTTACTAAATATGCATTGTAAAAAAACTCTGTCTTATTCTCCTCCAACACACAATTAATTAAAATGTTTTAAAGTGATTCTTAAACTGAAAAGTCTATCAGCAATATCATTTACCCATCACACTGGTTCTTAGCAACATCTCTGTGGTATCTCTACACTTTTAACTATTTACATTTTACATTGTTTTTCATATTACATGAATGCTCTCACATGCACACATACACACACACACACTCGCACACACACACACACACATGCATGCACACACACATGCACACACACCATGGGATCATCTAAAGTTTCTTATGTGTTTCTGATATTTTACAGAATCAGTGTCCAGTCTTATTATCTCCAAGTAAATGATCACTCTGAACCTGTTCCCCTCCTCAACCACATCCTTAGAACATTGCTCTATAAGTCACACCCTCTTTTTCCATTCTCTGTTTGACCCTTAATTAAGTTTTCATCATTTCTCAAACCACCTTTGGCATCTTACCTTTCTCTATTTCTATGTATCTTTTTTTCCTCCTTTTTATTTCATGTCTGGCTGTATGGCTGGGTGGCTGACCCCTTCTTTTCCCATTCCTCTATTCTTTTCTTGTTGCTTGGTCTTGTTCCTCCCAGATTTCTTCTCCTCTTTATTGTCTCTGCCTGCCAACCTCACCTTTCCTTTCTTTCTTCTTCCTTGCTATCGGCCATTCAGCTGGTGTTTTGCACAGAACACTAAAATAAAAGCAACATAAAAGAATGAACACATCTTTGCACCATTAAATAAATGATCCACACCATTAAATGCAACACATCTTAAAATGATACTCTACAACATAAAAGCAATGAATAGAAAGAAAAACAGGTATCTATTATAATTAGAAAATATGCTACATAAACATTTGAAACCCCTGAACCTATTTCTCTTGACATCCCTAGACATATTTTCAGATGCATTTGCAAATCAATGTTGCTGCTGAAATTGGCCTTTTCTGCTCACCCAGAGTACTTCTAGTAACTCAGCACTCAGAAGACCCCTTCTAGGACCCCTGGGATCTTTAATCATAG